AGAGAAGGAAATACATTAGGGGCAGTGTTTTTTAAGTGTGAGATGCTGTGCAAAAAATGCGCAAGGGGCTTTCTGCACCCAAGGCACAAGGTACAAGGAGATGCATCTGCCTTTTGAAGCAAAGTGCAATATTTTTAAAAATTAAAAATGCATAAAATGAAATAATATTAAAAGAAATGTTAATAAAAATGCATACTTAAATTTTTAAAAAGCCTATTAGCTCAAATTAAAATGCATAAACATAACACTATAAAACATATTCAAGCACATAAAACTTTCAATCTCTTTATTTCTTTCCAAATCGCATTACTCATAATTCTATGGGTTGTTTTGTACCAAGCCCCTTGAGGCAAGCCCAAATAAGTCCATGCTAGGGCCTTAAATTCTTATTCTGTACAAAAAAATTAGTTTTATAACCCACTTTCTCATGTTGACCAGCCTGAGGTTTTGCCATTGCACTAGGTAATAGTATTAGTATATATACATATATTTTTTACACAAATTAATGAAGCTTAATAGTTACCAATCAAGAAATAAAAAATAAAAAGGATTTAAAAATATGCCCAATGGTTTCAATGAACTTCCATTTAGAAGAAATATCATGTCATTCTGATTCCTGAATGAGGAGGTTGGTGCTGTTAGGGCTTTTGGCTCTTTTATCTTTTGATCAATAACGCATTTCATTAATCAATCAGAAATATTAATTACAAAGGAGGAGATAAATTTTCTCATCTCCCCAATTGAGGCTTGAGCACCCATGAATAGAAGTTAGAGTTGCAACTGAGCCCAGAACATAGATTCCCTTGCCACCCCTTGCTTAGCTAACCCATCAGCAAACAAGTTAGCTGATCTCTTCACCCAACTGATCTTGACTTCCATGCAAGGTTCAAAGTATCGATACTGGCCGATATCGGCCCTTTTTTTTTAACTTCCAGCATAGTTGTCAAGGCGACGCCTAGGCGACTAGGCGGTTTTTTATGTTCGCCTCGCCCAAACGCCCCAAGTTTTAATATTAGGCGCCTGCCCAGAAACTTAGGTGGGCGCCTATATACATATATAAAAATTATTATTTTTTAAATAATAAAAAGACAAGTTAAAAGAAAACCCTTTGACAAAAGGGTTTTAATATTAAGACAGAAGGGTTTTCTTTGTTCGATTGCAGAGGGAGGAGAACCGAACTGAGCCGCAGCCCAACTTCATCACACCTCAGCTTCGGCAGTGGCAGGTAAGTTTTTCTTCTTCTTCCTCTTCTTCTTCTTCTTCAACATTTTTTTCCTTTTTTTTTTCAGAAAAAACAGTTCGCCAGGCCAGGCGCCAGTCCTCCCTTCTTCTTTTGTAGTCACTTCTTCTTCTTCTTCAAATTTCAGTTGAAAAAACAGGGGCTCCGCCAAACCTCCTTTTCTTTTTTTTTCGAAAAAAAGGGGCGTAGTAGTCAGTCCTCTCTTCACTCTTCTTCTTCCATGAGGCCATGAGTCCATTTATTCCATTCTGCCCCATGAGGCCATGAGTCCAACAGTCGTCCGCCCCTTGACTCCTTTAGTTGAGTGCATTATTTTGTTTTTTTTTTTTTTTGAAGATCTGAGATTTGAAATGCTTTATTTTGAAAATCTGAACTGAAACTTGATTGTATGCTATGCTGAATCTAAAATCTGAGATTTGAAATGTTTTAAGTTTTATTTTGTTTCATTAATGTTTTTTTACATGGCTGAACTACTCTAATGCTCTTTTATTTTTTATCAGTTTTGTTTTGATTGTATGGCTGATTTTTTTTTTTAATTTGTATTTGTATATAAGTATATTGCAATATTTGCTGATTTGCATAATGGTTGCTTGCTTACTTAGGATTTAGGAAATACATGAATATTGCAATATTGAATTTTCTGATTTGCATTATGCTTTATTTTGAAAATCTGAATTCTGAAACTTGATTGTATGCTATGCTGAATTGGTTATGCTTAGTGTAATGTGTAGCTGGTAAGCAAATATAGCTTATAAAATAGTTTAGGTCCTTTAGGAAGTATAGAAATCTATAGATTTTATATTTATAGATTCCATCACCTAGGCGCTTGGGCGCCCCATGGTCGCCTAGCCTCGCCTAGTCACCTTGACAACTATGACTTCCAGTCGTTTTTTTTTCAGTTTTGGTTCAAAGGGGCCGATTTAAGTCCTGGCTACACTCTGAACCAGGCCCTGACCCGATACAACCCCTGTAGGGGCGTATTGAGAAGGGCCCGATACGATACGTATCGGCCGATACGGGCCAATACGTAACGATTTTTTGAACCTTGCTTCCATGTCTTTAGCCAGCCATCTAAACTTTCTCCTTTCGTAATTCTATAACCCAGTATTGTCTTTATTCAGCCACCCTACAACCACCCCTGAATCCTTCAATTACAAGTCTTCTTATATTCATCTCCTTTGCTCTTTGGACACCCTCCATAACTGCATAGATCTCGGCACTGAGAGAAACACCCACCCCAATTGAACCTGAGAGAATGGCTAAAATATTCCCATTCTCATCCCTCAACACACCCCCAACCCCTGAATGTCCAGGGTTCCCTCTACTACTACCATCAAAGTTCAGTTTCAGAAAGTCAAAGGGGGGAGGGATCCAAGACAAACTCGGTCCAGTTTTGACCTGGGTGCATCTAGCAACCTCTCCCCATTTCCTTAGTGGATCATCCACTGTATAATCTGTCTCAGATCTTGAGCACTTCTCTCTACTTCAAAGAAAATCCTAGAGTTTCTTTCTTCCCATAGAGACTAACATAACGCAGCCCTTAGGCATCTCCACATAGTCCTACCCCTTTTCAGATGCCACTTGAGAAAAGAAGAAAAAAAGCTCTGCAGCTTCGATGGAGGGGTCCAATTACACCCAAAGAGGGAAGAAGCCCATTCCCAAATAGTCTTTGCATTTTGGCATTTTGGCAACAGTATGAAAATTCCTTTGATGATTAAACCACTGGATGTTGCAACAGATATGGTTGCTCCCTTGGAGTCACTTTAATGGGAAGCAAAAGGATGCAGTGCAGAGTTGTTCTAAATTTCAGACTCAAATAACATCCATTTGACGCTGAAAATTTATAGGGACTTGCAAGAGATAATGGTCGAAGGGAGAAGTCAAACAACATTAGTAAGGTGATATCTTATCAACTTCCTTGTGTTCTCATTTTTCTTTTAATGAAATATTTTTTTAATTATCAAAAAAATCAAGAAAGGAGTGTCAGGAAATTGGTGATTAGAAGAGGGATTACATTGCAGGGATTGTAAAAGAAATGAGCCAGGCCTAACAGAAACACCCATAAGGGAGAAGATTTCAAGATTGAAACACAAGATGACCACCGTGCCAGCTATTAAGGATGGTGAGGATGGTGGGGAGTTAAGGGTGAGGAGAGGAGTCATGAAGTAACAAATGCAAAGCAGAAGACTGTAGAGCTAAAATTTCCAGATTGATGATGTTAGAAAAGTTGAGCCAAAACTAAGAGCTCAAGAAAGTATTTATCATATGCTCCAATCAGCAGAAATTTGAACCAACCCCAAAATATGGACAAAAACACAGAAAAAAAAAAGAAAGATAGGGATCAATTATTACAATGGTTTCTATACAAGATTAGAAGATAGGAAGAAAACTGAAAATGAGTTTTAAGTATATTAGCATGGAGGACCATGGTTTAAAATGTCTCAAATTTCCCTAATATTTCCATGATATATTTCCATTTCCATGGGTAGTGACATGAAATTTTACCGGAATCAACATTTCTCCGAATGAACACTACCAGCACTATGTGGAGTACAAGAGATAGTTTCCATGACATGTTTCAATTTCCACTTCCATGGGTAGCAACATGAAACTTTACTAGAATCAACATATTCTCCAATGAACACTACAAGTACTATGTGGAGTCCAAGCGATAATATTATAACATAAGTTGGTGACAATGTTATTGTCCGCCTAACTTACATGATTACCACTTGGAGCTAGTTCAGTATTCATTTCAAGCATAAAGTTAAATATTAGTTTTTGGTTTAAGTAATAGATTATTTGATTGATCTATTACAACCACTTACATATTTTATGAGTTAAAATGTTGCTTTAACTCATTCTATCATGAAGCTTTGAATCTTAAGGTTTATAGGGCAACTTCAAAACGTATTCTTTTGTCTATAACCTTAGTTTAGCTTTGTTTAATGACTTGGTACAAGATAATAATTTAAAAAGGTGTGCCTATGCTTCCTTATAAAATTTGATAAAATATCATTCTATATTTTGCATATTGTACAATGTTTGCACCATGCCTATAATTTTTACAATATTTCAATACGATATTTCCGACCTTTCCAATATGTTTCTTATGTTGATTGGCTGACATTTTCACTGACATCGACATTTTAAACCTTGTCGATGACACAGTTGTGGTCTGTCAAGGGATCAGGAAGCTGCTAGACAAAAGTAAGGTGCTGCCTTGGATGAGAAGATGCTGAAAATATTGGATTCTTGTCTTTTTTGGATTAATTCTATATTGAGGTACAATGCTGTTGGTTGGTTCATAGGGTCATTAGGTCAAGATGTTCCTTCTCAGGGCTGGAGTTCACCAGTTATTTTACTTTTGTAGAAGTTTCATCTGTACAGACCAAGTACCTATACTACAGATGTGATCCTTAGATAGTTGTCTTGGGATGAACTATGAAGGTGCTTCAGAGTTGTTGGCTATATATTGTTGTTATTGTTTTCCTTGTGAATTAAAAGAAAAATCTTTTTATAATAAAACAATATATACTAGCACAGCTAGCCACCTGGTTCTTTTGCCGTTAACAGGGAGTAATACCAGGATGGTAGTAGACTAGTAGTGTCAATAAGTGTAGAAAAAAACCCATAATAAGTCAAAATAAATGTTAATAAATGTTATAATGTTTGATGCTTTTCAGAAATGTTTAAAAAAAAAGAGCTGCAGAGAATAATGGACATGATATGAAAGTTCACTATCAGACAGTATTCATACCTTGAAGTCCCAAAACTACCATGGAAAGCTTTATGGCCAAAAGGAACTCCACCATCTTCACCAAACTTATTTAGCTCAAGGTTATTGAAATGCCTTTCCAATTCTATTAACTGACTCGTCAAATTCTGGAAGAGAAATAAAATAGAAATGGATGAATAAATGGTAGGATAGTTCAATTCTAAAACTAGTAATAGGTAATTTACCTTATTTACTTCTAATATCTGTCGTCGTTTCAGATCCAATTCAGGGCTCAATTTCTGACGATTCCAAAGGTCCCAGTATTGGCTATCTGAAGCTTGTTTAACAATGCCTTCAATATAAACTTTCCTCACCAAAACTGAAAGCCCAGTGACAATAAGATTCTTCAACAACATATCATGCCTAAGAAATTATATAGGAATTCATATTCATTCCTAGTGGCTAGGTCTATGAATTCAACAAATACTGGAAATGTAAAGGTAGAGCTTGTTACTTAAAAGAAGCAACATTTATAGGAAATGATTGTCATGGTACAAGAACTTCATGTTTCATTTACAAATATGTCATAAAATATCTGAAGACATTATCATCAATATGCCCATTTTTATTTTAGCTTCTGAAATATTGAAACTTGTAAGTTCTACCACTAGTATTAACAAGCCTTGTATGTGATAGAGTTTTCATACAATAGACTTGAAATATTTTAGCTATTCCCTACATTGGTATCTTCCTTAGTTATGATCAACCTATTGCTTCTCATACAGTTGCTAGTCAGTCAAGTTTGAGATGGATATTTGGTTGATATAGGATTTGTCTAATACATAGCATTGCCTCCTAAAAAAGAGAAAAACAAAATCAACTTTTGCGCCATAAGGACTAGAACTTTTGGGGTTTCTTAACCTAGCAAATTTCTCTCATTAGGGTAGGTGAAAGGGAATGCAGAATTGGTCAGAACTATTGAATGAACTTAGCAAAAATTGATATATCACCCATATTTGTGATGCATGATCCATGTTCTCCAAGGAATTAATGGCCCTTCAAAGATGAAATTTCATAACTCCAGAAAGCAGGACAGAAGCAGAGAAAAAACAATAAATTATTAATATTTTTCAGTTTTTATTAAATTTTTGGGGAAATTAAATCTTAAATTACTCACTTCAGTTTTTATAATTATATTTTTCTATTTTCCATTAATTTTGTTGGGAAAATTTATTTATTTAGTATTTTTATACAATGACTCAATTTTTTTCAAATAATAACTATGTTTTCATGTTTAACATATATATGTGTGTAAAATAAAATGTATAAATCATATAAGGAAGATGAAATATATTATTTTTAGTTTTAATTAAATTTATTGGAAAAGTTAAATCTTAAATTATTTATTTCATTTTTATAATTATATTATTATAATTTTTATTAAAGATGAAAACAATCCAAATGTAGTCAATATACAGTTTTGTCAAACTAGGCACGGATTTGCCTCGGTATCAATGTGTATCGGACCATATCCACAGATACAGCATGATGTGGCCCAATACGGAGGCGTATTGTGTCGATACGCACAACTCGTGGGATACATATCCCATACCTATGACCATGGATATGGATATGATACACCCCATATCGGGAGTATCGTATCAACACCTTAATCCTTGGACTGGTTCATCTCCATAAGTATGTGTTAATTCCATTCTGAATTTCTTCTACTAGAAATTCTAGTCTTGAAAAAAGATCAAGAAAAATCATATCTTACCCAGTTGCCCCATTGAATCCATCTAAATAGTCCTAAGTTGTTAAATCAATATTCCCCATACTTACTTTTAGCACTTCATCCTTTCTGTTTCTACAAATTTCCACTCTTGCCCTTAGCTTTACACTCAAGGCCGGTTCATTTCCTCTTAACACGTATCTCTTAAGAGGAATATTTTAACTTTAACAGAAAAATGGTTGTTTGTTTCCTCTTATCTCTTATTTCTTAAAGTGCAATCATACAACTTTTTGTTTTCTAATGATACCCCCAAAAAGGCAAACAAAAACTCTCATATACGGAGTCAAAATGGATATTTTATAATTTTCAGAATTCAGAATTCAGAACTACATTCTCTGCATTCAGAGTTCAGAGGAAAGAAAAGTTCACCAATACCAATATACCTCTTAACATAATTATTGCACTTTCGGATGTCAGACTTTAGAGCAAACGAACAGGCCCTTGTTGCTTTTGTAATTTAGACAACCATGTTGACTAACTAAAATACATTCATAAATATCACCTCGCCTACCTTGACCCATTTGAATCAAATTCATTGGCCTTGAGCCCTTCAAGCCTTAGCTGCATTATATTTTGCTTACTTTTATACCAATCCTTTACTTTTAGCTACAAAAACCTAACATCAATTAGTGCCAATTGCTCATAGCTTCATTGCAACAATGAAAAAATATTTCTTCATAGTCAAGTTCAATTAGTATTTCCTAACCAGACACTGAAAAGGCTTCATTTACTCAAAAGTAAAGAAAGAATAAATACACACTTGTTACAAAACCACCAAAACATCAAAGAAAAATTGTTGTGCAATAAAGCTCTGAAGATTACCCTGAGCAGTCTTGTCTAGAAGTTGTTGGACCTCATTAAGTTGTTCATCCAGTGTGTTCTACAAAATCAAAGACCAGTCTGAGAGAGAGAGAGAGAAAGAGAACCAATATACGATCATAATCCAAAAATTTAAGGGAATGCACTTTGCAAAGAATTCACCATACAATTGATGAGAATGTGAATTTCTCTCTGCAATCATTATCTATTGTAACTGAATTTCTCTGTTATTAATGAAAATTTCTTGCTGATCAAAAAAACAAAAAGGAAAACCTCAAGTGAAAAAATGATGTATGATAGGATACAAAGGAAAAGACCAACACCCATGTCCTATTAGCCATAACATCAATTTCATTTTCAGCCAGGGTTCTCAAATATCCAAACATGTTCAAATACCTTGGTCTTGTACCATTAGAATGGTTTTTCAGTTACAGATAGGATATATACTTGTAACAGGATTCTCTCTTTAGGGTGATTTTCAGATGATTAGACTATTTTACTAGAACTCACTAGGTGAATAGCTGAAATTATTTTTTAGGTCTTAAGTTGGATGAGAGACTTCAGTATTCTTAAAATAAACTTAGCTCAACAAAGCCTTTTTCCCAATCATAGTGTGTCAGCTAGACAGATACTATTTTGCCATTCAACTCTATCAAAACCACATCCATTTAACATTACTACAACCCATGTCCTTTCAATTCTATCAAGACCAGATCCATTCAACTCAAATGTAGCTCAATGCAAGCTTCTCCCGTCAATGCAGGATCAAGAGAAGGAGCAGCCTTACCCCTGAAATACACAGAGAGGCTGTTCAAAAAAGGAACTCAAACATATATACCCCTTATCCCCAAGAAAATCAAATACCAGAAAATCAAATAGCATAGCCCAAGGAAAACCTTGACAAACATCTATTTTTGATGGATAACTTGAAGATTTTATTATTTTCTTAATTAAAAATATTATACACAAAGAATCGTCCACAAACATTAGAATGCTACAAACAACCCAAAGCTCCACACCACCTTAACATGTGTCCTATCAACCAACTTAGACTCGGATACATAGTTGTCAAGGCGACGCCTAGGTGTCGCCTAGGCGACTAGGCGCTTTTCACAGTGTGCCTCGCCCAAACGCCATATGTTTTGCGTACTAGGCGCCCGCCTAGAGACTTAAGTGGGCGCCTACATGCATTTAAACAAAATATTTTTTTAATTTATTAATTTGATATTTCATTGGTTGTTGTATTCTTTTAAAATAAACCTGTTACATTGTATCATTTTAGTATTAAGAAAACTATACATTGTATCATTTTAGTATCTCTATTTTCTTTTCTAAACCCTTGTATCACAAGGGTTTTGGTTCGATTGGAGAGGGAGGAGAACCAAACAGGTAAGTTTTGGTTCAGACTTTTTTCCTTTTTTCTCGAAAAAACAGAGGCTTTGCCAGCTTACATGCATTTAAAAAAAAATATATTTTTCGAAAAAACAAGGGCTCCGCCCCTATACTCCTCAGTCCTCCCTTTCTCCACTTCTTCTTCTTCTTCTTTTCCCACCCCATGAGTCCAACTGCTCTTTTTTTTATTTTTATTTTTTGAAAATTTAACCAGAATTCTTGAGGGTATGTGGCTGCACCAAATTTTCTTGTAAGGAAAAGAGGGATGCTGATCTTCAGCAGTCAAAGCCCTGAACATAGACTTAGAAGAGAATTCGCCATTTGGGTGAAGGGTCCATATTCGGGTGTTAGAATGACAGGGAGATATATAGGCATCTTTGAGGGTTTGGATCAAGGCTATTAAATCAGAAATCTCCAAGCCCCTTAGGGGTCTTCTGAGGTGGAGGTTTAAAGTGTTCTCGGCGAACTGGTTTGGGAGGCAAGCAGAAATAGAGGCTTCTTGGTCAAGGGTGAGGTTAAACAGCCTAGGGAAAGAGGCTTCCAGGGTAGATTCCTCCCACCAAAGATCTTTTCAGAACCATTTCCCACTTTATACCATATAAAGGAAAGAAAGAAGTATGAATGGAACATATACCTTTCCAAGGATTGGTGGCCTTTATCCTCTTCAAATGGAGATTGCAATCCCACACGTTTGTATTTCGTCTATATTTACTTGAGATAACAGCAATCCAAAAAACATTAGGTTCTTTCGGAAATCTCCATGAGATTGCAATCCCACACGTTTGTATTTCGTCTAAATTTACTTGAGATAACAGCAGTCCAAAGAACATTAGGTTCTTTCGGAAATCTCCATAGCCATTTTCCTAGGAGAGAAGAATTTTTCTCTTTAAGTTGTCCAATACCCAAACCGCCTTCCTCTTTTGGTCTGCATACTTGTTTCCAGCTGACTAAATGGTTTCTCTTATCTCCACCACCTTCTCAAAGAAAATTCCTTCGAAGCTTCTCAATCTGATTTCTCACTTTGGTCGGAATCTGGAAAACAGAGAGAAAGTAGACTGACAGATTTGATAAGGAGGCCTTTAAGAGAGAGCCTACCCCCTTTGGAGAGATAACACTTTTTCCAAGTCAATAAATTCTTCTCGCATTTCCCCCTCACAGAACTCCAAAAGTTGAGAGGTTTTGGATTCCCTCCAAGAGGCATCCCAAGGTAGGTAATGGGGAGATTCTCCACTTTGCACCCCAATAAAGATTTGAAATTTTCTAGAAGTTCCACTTCCACTGAGTTGATAGTCACAATACTACTTTTGCAGAAATTAACTCTCAGACCAGTGAGAATCTCGAAACATTCGATTACCATTTTAGTGTTTGTGATGTTGGTTATGGAGTCATCAGCGAACTGTAAGTGAGAGATGTGAAGTTTATCCCTACCCACTTCAAAACCTTTCACCAGTTGAGAAGAATTGACTTATCAAAGAGATAATCAAATATATCCATCACCAAAGTGAAAAGTAATGGGGAAAGAGGGCAACCTTGTCTTAGACCCCTGCTAGCCTTGAAATAACCTTTTGCTTCACCATTTATCAATACTGAAAACCTAGGAGAGCCAATACAGCCTTTAATCCACCTGATCTAGTTTCTCCCAAAACCTCTTAGCCTTAAGCAATCAAGAATGCAGTCCCAATCCACTTTGTCGTACGCCTTCTCAAAATCAAGTTTCACAAGGACCCCCGAGATCCTAGAGGATGTTCTGTCTTCCACACACTCATTTGCAATAAGAATGCTGTCCACAATTTGTCTTCCTTTTACAAAAGCAAACTGATTTGCAATAAGAATGCTGTTGGCCAGAACCTTCGCCAAAATTTTGTATATGCTCCCAACCAAACTTATAGGTCTAATGCCTTTAACTCCCAAAATTCCCCCTTTCTTAGGGATAAGGCAGAGAAAGGTAGAGTTAAGGCCCTTGTTAACAATGGCAGATGAATGGAAGTCTCTTAAAAACTCCATGAGATCTGACTTTACAATTTCCCAACACTTTTGGAAGAAAAGAATAGGGAAGCCATCCGGCCCTGGAGCCCTATCTCCGTCCATGCTGAAAGTAGTCTTCTTGACTTCTTCCTCTTAAAAGCTTCTTTCCAACCAATTCCTCTTTTCAGCTGATAGGGTAGTGCCATCCCAATTAAATATTGTAAACTGATTTTCACTACCCTTGGAGTAAAGGTTTTTAAAGAAAGAAAGTAAAGCTTCAGAAATTTCCTCAGGATTCTCCACTTCTCTCTGGTTAAGGTTGAGCTTAGAAATAAAATTCTTCCTGCTTCTTCTCGAGGCATAGGTGTGAAAAAATCTGGAATTATTGTCCCCTTCTTTCAACCATCTCACTCTTGATCTTTGTCTCCAATAGATCTCTTCCCTTCYAACTAGTTGCTCCCATTCCTTTCTTAATTCTGCTCTTTTATTTCTGATTGAGGATCCCATTTTGAACTCTATTGTCCAAGTCCTCTAATTGCGAAAGAATTCTTTTTTTCTCTTCTTCAACAGCTTTAAATTCTTCTCTCCCCCAAGCTTTAAGATTTTTCTTCAATGCTTTTAATTTCTGAAGAAGTCTGAATCCAGCCCAACCTTCTACTTTGTAGTCTTCCCACCATGTTGCAACCTTTTTACTTAAATCTTTGTGTTGTAGCCAGAATTTTTCCAATCTGAATGGGGTTTTTCTTTTAATTTTTCTATTGGTGTTCAGCAGTATGGGCCAGTGGTCTGAGGTACATCTTGGACGAAGTTCTTGACACAGGCTTGGGACTCTTAGTCAGTCACTCTCACTCTCTCAGTCGTCAGTCCACCCCATGAGTCCTTTTTTTTTTTGTTTTTTTTGAAAAAAACAGGGGCTCCACCCTACTCAATCAGTATTTCAGTCATGATCAGTGTTTTAAAAGGCGTGGGATAGGTACGCCTGGAGGCTCTCCAGGCGAGGCGCTCCCAAAACGGCCTGAGGCATATGCCAGAGGCGCTGACACCTCTGAGGCGTACGCCTCAGGTGCAAGAGGTGTACGCCTCTTGCGCTTTTCTCATGAGGCGTGCTAGAGGCGTAYGCCTCTTGYGCCTCATGCACATCTGATATGAAAATACAGAAAAAAAAAAAGAAAAAAGAAAAAAGAAAAAAAGGAAAGAAAAAGAAAAGAAAGGGAAAGAAAAGGAAAGGAAAGAGGAAAAAAAGAGAAAAGGAAAGAAAAGAAAAGTAAGGGAAGGGAAGAAAAGATAAGGGGAAAGAAAATGGTTCGCCCCCCAGACCCCCCCGCCCCCTTTTCAATGCAGCTTTATTCTTCTTAATATAAAAGATTTTTATTAAAAATAAAGAAAAAATGAGATCCCCCCTTCCTTTTCATCCTCCTCAAAACCCCCCTCCTCTTAAGGAGGCTTACGCCTCTTGCGTTCTGAATTACGCCTCACGCCTCTAGGTAGTGGAACGCCTCACGTCATGCCTCCGTGTTTTAAAACACTGGTCCTGGTCATGATTCACACTTGAATCATCTCAGTTTTTAACAGCCTAAGCTGCCAAACCTACTCTTCTTCTCTTCTTCAATTCTTCTCTAATCTCTTCTTTAATTCTTCTTCTTCTGATTCAAATTTTTTTATATCATTAATATATATGATCATATGGCTGATTTTTTTTATATGGATGAACTACATGGCTGAAACTTGATTCAATGATTGTATGGCCAAATTGGATTCTCTTCTAAAAATGTTTTTTTATGGCTGAATTACATGTCTGAAACTTGATCCATTGATTAATTGATTATATATATACATATATATATAGTTGGTTTAGACTACTTTTTGTTGATAATATTTTATATTTTTAGCTTTTTATATGAAACTTATACTCATTTGAATGATTTATAGTGTTAATAGTTAGTGTACATGATAGCTAGTTAGCACACAAAACCAATAAAATGACTTGGAAAAGCATATATAAAGTAAAAACTCAATAAAACAAACATTTTTAAATTCCAACGCCTAGGTGCATTGAAAACTATGCTCTGATATCTCCAACCTTTTTTCTTTCAAAGCATAAAATTTCATTAAAAAGAAATGACCTTTACAACATGTGAAAAAGGAACACTCGAAAACAAATAGTGAAAAGTGCCCTTCCATCAAGACCAAATTCCACTATATGATAATACAGATTCATCCACTAACTTCAAGTGTGCAAAACTGACCCAAAGACACCCTATCCAAGTTCTTAAAGTTCAAGTGAGCTAACATCCATTTGAATGGTCAAATTGAAGAACTTAGAAATTTCTTTCTATATGGCCACTGCCTCTCTTTCTCTCTATATGGTCAATTTATAGCCCTGTATGCATTCCCAAACCGCAACCTCATCTCTCTCCTTGTCATTTAAGGTTCTAGCATTTCTTTCCTCCCAAACTACCAACATTAGAGCTGCCCTAGCACATCACCACATAACCTTACCCCACCTCTTAGGCCATCTGAAGGTTGTTGGGTCAAAGAGACTACCAATATGCATAGGATCAGTCCACCTGCAACCAAAGAATACCAAAATCCTTTTCCCAGAGACCTACAACAAAAGGGAGATTAGTAAGTGGTAACAACTCTATCCATTAGTTTTGCAGAGAATACAGTAGTTTGGGTCAGAGAGTATACAGTAGTTTGGGGAAATACTAAGTCCAGGTCTTCTCCATTAGCTTTGCAGGCATCTCTCTTTTATTCTTCCTTCTATCCTTGATTGTTGCATCTTCCACTTAATTCATAAGAGGTAAAAGCAAAAGGTCTTTTCCATTTTCCTCATCCCCTCATGCCACCACAACCATGTCCGGTTTTTCACCATTTGACAGCTTAAAATTACATATATTTCTTTCTTTAACTTGGACTTCCTGATTTTCATGTTCCATAAGCAACCAAAAAGTATTCCTTAGCTCTAGTATCAACACCCAGCACCCAAGGAAAATATTACACAATTCTTTAGAAAGGTCAACTTGCCTCTCTAAAGCCTTCTTTCCTTCCCAAATATCGACCCTTCTAACCCAATATAAAACCCCCTCATGCAACTGTGAAGTAAAGTTAAAGACCTCTACCATATTTAAAGTGTCAAAGTTGTGGCCTCCATTTCATTTAAAGTACCATCGGTAACCAATCTTGAAATGCCACATAAATATAACAGAAACTGTTTTGAGAACCTCACAAGAACTAACACAAATAAATAAAAAGTAGGAGGCTTATCATGTCTTGACTCCACAGGATCCATCTCCTTAGCTCCAATGAAAATGATTATTGTCATTTTTCCCATGGTAACAGCATACATGTATTTACTAAAATATCGATGCTGGCATGATACATATCCAATCCTAAGGTGTAGCTTTGATGGATTGGGCCATTTATAACAAGAAATCTGAAAAACATCAGAAATTTCATGTAAACCTATTTTAATATATATATATATATATAACATTACACAAGTATTTATTAATATATATATTTATGTATATATAAATAAATACATATAAATATTTATAAATAAATATATATAAATAAAAATATATATATTTATGTATGTATATATATATATCATAGTTGTCAAGGCAACGCCTAGGCGACTAGGCGGTTTTTTATGTTCACCTCGCTCAGAGGCCCCAAGTTTTATATATTAGGTGCCCGCCCAGAAACTTAGGCGGGCGCCTATATACATATATAAAAATTATTATTTTTTTAATTAATAATAAGACAAGTTAAAAGAAAACCCTTTGACAAAAGGGTTTTAATGTTAAGACAGAAGGGTTTTCTTTGTTCGATTGGAGAGGGAGGAGAACCGAACTGAGCCGCAGCCCAACTCCATCGCACCTCAGCTTCGGCAGTGGCAGGTAAGTTTTTCTTCTTCAGTTCTTCTTCTTCAACATTTTTTCCTTTTTTTTTTCGAAAAAACAGTCCGCCAGGCCAGGCGCCAGTCCTCCCTTCTTCTTCTTCTTCTTCTTCTTCTTCAGTTGAAAAAAACAGGGGCTCCGCCAAACCTCCTTTTCTTTTTCTTTTTCCGAAAAAACAGGGGCAGAGCCCCTTTATTCCTCTCAGTAGTCAGTCCTCTCTCCACTCTTCTTCTTCCACGAGTCCATGAGTCCATGAGCCCCTTTATTCCATTCCGCCCCATGAGGCCATGAGTTCAACAGTCGTCTGCCCCTTGACTCCATGAGTTGAGTCCATTGTTTTGTTTTTTTTTCTTTTTGAAAATCTGAGATTTGAAATGTTTGAAATGCTTTATTTTGAAAATCTGAACTGAAACTTGATTGTATGCTATGCTGAATCTAAAATTTGAGATTTGAAATGTTTTAAGTTTTATTTTGTTTCATTAATGTTTTTTTACATGGCTGAACTACTCCAATGCTCTTTTATTTTTTATCAGTTCTGTTTTGATTGTATGGCTGTTTTTTTTAATTTCTATTTGTATATAAGTATATTGCAATATTTGCTGATTTGCATTATGGTCGTTTGCTTACTTAGGATTTAGGAAATACATGAATGTTGCAATATTGAATTTTCTGATTTGCATTTTGCTTTATTTTGAAAATCTGAATTCTGAAACTTGATGGTATGCTATGCTGAATTGATTATGCTTAGTGTAATGTGTAGCTGGTAAGCAAATATAGCTTATAAAATAGTTTAGGTCCTTTAAGAAGTATAGAATTCTATAGATTTTATATTACAAAAGGGCATACTCTTTTGACTAATTAAATCATTACAAAGTGGCAAAATGGTTACACCATTTCAAGATGATTCCTTACTCTACTTAGGAAAAACATTTAAGGCATAAATATATAGTACCCACCATTGATATTTTAGCTAAAATAATATTTTGCTTTGTGTAATTTAGGGTGTATTCGATGCTGTGGTGTCAAAAAGTGTGGTGTGTTCCAGGCTCCTGGACCCCACCAAGGTAATGTTTGACACACCCCATTTGATGTTCTGTACTGTGGTGGTATGGTGTGGGCTGTTCTCAAACAAAGAAATAATTGTATCCCAGAATTTGCAAATATAAGGTATTAAAGCATCTACTATAACCTGAGCCATGTTTAGTTTGAAAAGAAAAGGTAGGGAAAGGGAGGGAAAGGTAGATAGAAGTGTACCAGGTTTCCCTACCTTTTCTTTCAAACCAAACATAGACTTATTAAACAATGCATAATCAAAAATATTTCAAAAGAGAAATAAGAACTAAAAAGTTTTTTTCTATGAATAAATAAGAACTTAAAAGTTATCAATAATGATAACAATTAATTTGAAAAAAGAAACTAGTAGTTTTAAAGAGCAAAGAACCATATTAAAATAAACTATTTGGATGACATCTATGTACATGTATATTGAAAACCTTAAATTGATATAATAAACTAATTAAAACTTGTTGAGAACAACATAAAAAATTAAGTCACTAAGGAATGTGTTGAGACAAGTTCCACTATGGTTCATATTAGCAATGCAGCACCCATGATCAGATATTATAAATTAAGCCCAATATGACAGTGGATACCATGTGGACAGTTCTAGATACTTCATATTATTTATATTATGTAAAGAGTATGTTTTAACAAATCATATATAAAATTATGAATGTGTTAGAACCTTAATTAAATTTAGCAATATATAAGCATTGAGAAAAAAAACTAGTAAACAACTCATGGTACAAGCATACTAATATAAAACCTTTAGTATCCATTTTGGGATCACAAAAATGGTCTTATCCCCATTTCCTGTACTGATGTCCACATTGTTATCCATTTGTGGGCATTGTAGGTTATTCTTGCTTCCAAAGCCCAACTGCAGCCTTCTGCAAATATATTACTCTCCCTCATTTAATCACTTAGGGAAAAAACTCCAAATTTTCCATGAATATACTCATTTTTAATATAGTCCTTTCTAGTGTGGCCACCCACCTATTCTTGGCTGCACAACACTCTGCTCCATACAATATTGTCAGCCATGTAAGTAGGACAATTTCATTATTGAGTCGAAACTTGCCTTGTGAATTTCCATAACAACCATTAGGTTCGCTAGAATTAGCAGTTTCTAACAGACTTTACTAGATTTTCCTCTAAGAAACCAAGGCAACAATAGTGATTGAAGTAATCTTATCACCCATCCAGATTTATTACAATGCTTTCCCTATTGCATCTAGTCATCAACAAGTTCTGGCAAGTAGAATATGCATGTTACGCAACCCAAGCTACAACATTAGTTTCCTAGGAGTATGAACATTTATATCCAAATCAGTAACTCGAAATAAAAAAGCAGAGCACAATAAAAGTATGAAACATACCCTCCATACTCTGCATCTATCCGAAAGATTATCTATACCCTCCTCTAATGACATAATTGAATCCTTCTGGGAGATTGTGCAGGCATCTCTAAAACCACCATCTTCTTCTATATGTGATAAAAGGGTATCCAGTTCCTTTACCATCTCCTTCACCTGAAAAACAAACTACAATATAAGAACAGAAAGATAGGGGAAGAAGAACACCACTCATATTGAAGAAATTAACACTTCCAAAGTATCATATAAGTGTAGCAGTTCGGTAAAAGACTACCAAATCATCTTCCCCAATAAGATCAAAGAAATCATTAACTCTCTAATAGATGAAGAATACCATCACCAAATTAGAAAATAAATAGAACACATTGAGACCAAAGAAAAAGAAATGATGATTTGCAGATACCAACATTTATAGGACCACTTGGATTCTCAAATAACTCTAACTCTATTTAATCAAGTTTTTGGACTAGCATGATTCATTTTGCTAAATCCCAAGAAAGATTTTCTTGAAAAAACTCAAGGAACATGCAAAAACATAATTCAAGAGTTTTTATTAATATTAATTTGACAGATCAAAGTAGAATCTAGAACCTAAAACCTAAAAATACAGAAAATGAACCAATTCATAGGGATCAAGGACAGGATCCAAAATTAAATGTTATGGACAATTCCAGAGGCCTACTGGGATGTAATGAACCTAGATTTCATGGAAATTATCAACTCACTAGGGTAATGATTATTAGATTAAGGTGGATTTCAAATTCCGCTTTTTCAGCAATATGGAATTTGGAAGCATGTGGAAGAAAAACCCTGCAAATTCTGTATTTTACCGGAACTCAAATTCTTCCCAAGAATAGAGTTGTAGCCTAATTTCAAATCCACTCCCACAATCCAAATGCAGCCTAATGAAACACCATATTGCAGTAACTTAAAGGCAATAGATGGAATAAAACAAGAAGGGTGCTAGCTCATATGGAAAGTAAATAACTAAGAGATCTTACAGCAAGACATTATAATCAGTATTTCAACCACCAATTTGATGGAGCCATCATGTTCCTATTTAGAAGTTTGTATGAGTCAGGCACAAAAAGTCAAAAAGAGGTTGATGTTGATCCACTTCTGTACTGGTAATATTATGAATAGTTCATCTAGTCCAACTAAGTTTGTAAAATTCTGATCAGAATACTACATTCAGAAGCATTGATTGAAAAAATAAAAATAAAAAGAATCAAGAGTTATCAGGGAATAATTAAGAACAGGAATTTACACTGCCAAAATGCTTTGATAACTCTGGATCAGAGTCCAGCACGCCTGAGGGTTGTGTTGTTCTAAAATTTTCCTTGGTAGGATGCAACTTATAGTTTAGAGACCTCCCTAAAACAGAATTTTCCTGTGATGAAATTGGTGAGCTTCGAATGGTAGGTTTTGATTCAACACTTCCTGTCCCAGTAAAAGCTTTCTGGCCTCCAGTTTGAGTGGCTTTACCAGATTCAAAGACAGAAAGTGATGCAGCAGCACTAGAATCCCTTGAATTGGAAATACTCCCACCAGATAAATCAGAATTTTCCTGGGATGAAATTGGTGAGCTTCGAATGGTAGGTTTTGATTCAACATTTCCTGTCCCAGTAAAAGCTTTCTGGCCTCCAATTTGAGTGGCTTTACCAGATGAATAGACAGAAAGTGATGCACCAGCACTAGAATCCCTTGAATTGAAAATACTCCCACCAGACAAATCAGAAGAAAAGCTATGGCTTCCAGCAAACCGAGTAGCCCCAGTACTTGCACCAGACTTTTCATACCTATTGCCTTGAACGGGACTAGAAGCAAATGATGATAATTTTGCAGTGGGGTCATTTGAGAACAAAAGCTTTCCACGGGACCATGATTCAGATGAAGCACTTTGAATGTTTGCTGATCCAACCATCTTAGGGATTTCTTTTCCCACCTCAGCACTTTCAAGTGGATCTTTGTAGCATAATTGACCAATGCTAGATGTATCACTTTGTGTCATCCCTGTCAAAGAATCAGTGTTTTTAACACCAGTTAAAGGAGCCGAAACAAGCGTTTGGCCTTCCATTTTACTGGGATCCCTAAATGCTGATCCAAATCCCAGCACAGGAGGCGGCTTCACAGGTACTTGATCCAAGGTTGAGCTTCGCTGCCAAGAAATCTGTAATTGTGAATTATCCAGGTTCTGCTTGACAGAATACTCATTATGCTGTCTATCCCTATCAGAGTTCTGCAAATTCTCTGGAACTTTAAGTTCCTGGCCTGGAGAATTCCGCTCAGGAAACTTTACAATGTCACTATGATTTTTGATAATTGCCCCCTGGGTTGTTTCCTTAGATTTAGAATTCAAAAGTGCCCCTTCTACTTTGTGCTGTTCAGCCGCTGAAGTTTTAGAGGAATCATATCCCACAGGTAAAATTGTCGAAGAATCATCTTCCTCGTCAGTAAAGGCAGAAGAAATCGGTGGTGCAACTGTAGTTTCTGTAGCACTAGAGATAAAACAGATTTAATAAAAAAAGAATAGAAGATTATTATAGAACCTTAGGCTAGGTGCAACTGGAGATGTAGGTATGTCATTGTACTGAAACAATGAAATTGATGGCAATATGAAAAGCAACATTGAGAAGTACCCTGCAACATGGAACATAACGAGCTTCCCTTCAAGGGTAAGACAGAGTAAAACGCAATATGGTGATAATTCTATCCGTTCCCCATCTCCCACCATGACTTTAACTTTCTCATACAAGGAGACTTTGTCAACACCAAACCCCAAAATCAAATTGTCATCACCATTTTCTGAAACAGAAGACAGCACTTAAGTGAGAATTTGAAAAGTTCTTCAGAGAAGTATTACAATTATCAAATAAATCATGAGATCAACTACAATAAAATGCCGAGGGGGAATATGAAGATCATATCAGAAGTCCTAAAAGTCAAGCACTGACCAGAATCAAGAATATAAAAACATGTGAAACAAAAAGAATGGCCCAGAACCATTCATTCAAAAATGTAACCAACTTGTATGAAGTAAACTTGTGATTGAAAACTGCGAGCCAAAACTTGAGATTCTTTATTAGCCTCAAGAGTCTTCTGCTGCAAAGCAACTGAGTGAAATTAGACCAAGAAACCACCCTGATGTGATAATTCCATATTTATGCAACCGAGTACCGACACTTCCATCAGATTGTAGTCAGCAATTTTCTTGACAATATTAAAATAACCAATTGATCAGTTGATCAACATACACCATACTGACTTTTGGTGGATATATAACCTTGGTTCACAGTTTCAGTATCAATGGATGTTTTGCAATGCAGAAATGTGGAAATTTTCACCAATATCACTAAGACATTAGGAAAATACAGAGAAATTAAGCAGACATTACTGAAATATTGGAATTTGTTAATAAAACTTCAGGGACTGTTGGGAGAAGTATGGTTGCACATCCCAAAAAAAAAAAGAAGAAAAAAAAAACATAGCAAACAATGGTTATACCAAATAAGAAAAGATAAAAATGATTTAAATAGGTACGGTTTTATTTGGAAAAGGGTAATGTCTTCTTGATTACCAAAAGCATTTAATTCATTACCATAAAAAACGCATTCATCTTTCCTGTAACTAGATGTTTTGGTTAGACTAAAAATCCCCTCTCTAGTTCTGTCTCCACTTTTTGCATTATAGTGATTCAATGAATCACATTCAAAATAGTAAACCAGTTCACCAATCAAAGATGCTAAAGTTCCAAGTACTTGATATAGATTTTGGACTAAAAAGATCACAAAGATAATAGAAAAAACTCTGATCAAGCCAAGATAATTGTTGTATTTCTCACCATATGTGCTCCAAGGGATACTTGTCTTTTTACCCATATTTTGTAAAATTGATTCTTATAAACACTATTGTTGGCACCATAAGTCGGTCTTTGCATCCACTCCATACACCTACAAGAACCCTTCTGCCATTAATTGGGCCTTATACTTCTCCAATGTACCATCTGCATTGTGTTTCAATAAAAACGCCCACTGGTTTTTTACCTTCTGGATGATCCACCAATTCCCACATGCCAATTTTATGTAGGGCATTAATTTTTTCCTTCATTGCATTTGTCCATTCAGGAACAGATAGAGACTCCACAACTTTTTGGGAATAGGGACGCTATCATTGGAGGAAAGGAAAGCATAGAAAGAAGGTGAGACATGCATAATGTGAGATGAGATAATTGATGGTACAAGATCTAACACCCTCCATTTTGGCAATATGAAGGCCCAAGTCACTAACAACAAAGGTATCAATATCAATGGGATTAGAGACATCAATAGGAATAAGAGTACATGGTTAAGGAAGATCTATCGGATTTGTCCCCAAAGAAGTTGTCAAGTAGATGATATTGGTTGCACAGCTTCAAGTTGCTCCACGGCTCTTGAACTCTATTGGCTCTTGCGACAACGAAAAAAGACACAAAAGGGAGGAGGATCAGAAAGAGGAGGAAGTTGAACCTGAACTAGTTTCTCAACCCTATTCTACCCTTAAGGAGAAATAGGAAAGAAGGCTTCATTCTCAAAAAATGACACATCAATGGAGACATAGTACTTACGTGAAGTGCAATCAAAACATTTGTAACCCTTTTCAGAATAAGGGTAACTAAGGAAGACATAGGGAGTAGCTTTGGGATCAAGCTTAGCACAAGTATGAGACAAATCACAGACAAAAGCACCAAAACCCAAACACACATAGGAAAAAAAACAAGGGGGCTTTAGAAAATAAGAGCTGTTGTGGGCCTTGTATTCCAACAACGAAAAGGCATGCGGTTGATAACACATGCACTAAATAAAACGGCATCCATCCAGAAATGTTTGAGGACATTCATGTGCAGTAACGTGGCCCAAGAAACTTCAAGAAGATGGCGTTTTTTCTTTCAGCAATGGCATTTTGTTGCAGAGTCCTAGCACATGAGCTTTAGTGAATGGATACACAACGAAGAAAAAAATTTAGTAAGGTCACCATGAAAGTACTCTTGTGCATTATCAAAATGGAAGATTTGCATCTCATACTGAAACCAGTTGAATACCATATGTTGAAAATCATTTACAAGTTTAAGCACTTCACCTCTAGAACGCATTGGATAAACCCATGTATAATGAGAGGAATCATCAATAAGTGTGATAAAGTTCTTATAGCCATTCTCAAATGGTAGAGTAACAGGACCACACACATTAGAATAAACAATATGGGAAGGGAAATCTAATCTTTTATATCTCAAAGAAAAAGAATTTCTACAATGTTTACTTAACTGACATGTAAGACATTGAAACTGAGTTACTGACACACGCTTGTAAAATTCTGGAAATAAAAGCTTTAAGGACTTAAAGGTCATATGACCTAAGCAATTATGCCACAAATAAACTTAACTCTTAAGAAACTAGCTCGTAGACTCTATAGCTGCAAGACTAGTTCTCGAACACATAAAGGCCATCCACCAAGTTCCCCACCACCAATCATCTTCTAGAGGCTAGATCCTGAAACACACAAGAATACGGAAGAAATGTCACTAAATGGTTTAAAGAGCAACTAATACTACTAATGGGCGTGTTAATTGGTAAATTAGGGACATGGAGCACATTTGAAAGAGAGAATCCAAATAACAAAGAGATAGACCCTTGACCAGCTATGGAGGAGAAAGAACCATCGACTTGTCTCACTTTTTCTCTACCAAAAAGAAGGGTAAAGGAATGAAATACAGTTGACTAACCAGTCATGTGATTTGAGGCTCTGGAATCAATAATCCAAGGAGATTCCGACGACTAAGAGGACACATGAAAGGCAAAGGCAGTGTTACCTGATGTAGACACAAATGAAGTTGAGGGGTTAAGACGATCCTAAGGTGTGCTCACAATAGAACCACTCGTTTGTTCCTGAGAAGCCATATTTGCTATGGTATACTTATACTTCTTACTGGATTTCTTACTCTGCTCCAGTGCTGGTTTCTTTCTCAACTCTTGGGCCCACTTCCACATGCCAACTAGATCCTAACAACTATCACAAGTATATCTAGGCCTCTAACAATGGGTGCACCACATATTATCCTTCTCATCTCCCTTCTTTGGGAAATCACCCTTCATTATAGTATTCACACCACCATTTGCTGCCAAGGCTATCGGCTCACCCTTATGAGCATTCATTGCATTTATTCTACTCTACTCAAACTAGATTAATCCATACACCTATTGGACGAATGGATGATCGTTGCTGCCTAAATAGGCTCATATACTAGGTCCAATCCAAGTAAGAAAAAAAAAACACTCGTTGTTGAGGTACAAGATCCTTATAGGTCTTAGCATCCTTATCACTCTCCCATTCAACACTCTAACAGCAACCTAGTTACTTCCAAATGGATGTAAAAGTGGAGCAGTAAACAGAAAGACTACGCCCCCCTTACATGCAGAAGGCTTTGCCTGCAACTGACAAATTCTAGCATAGTGTCACTATTCAGAGTGCATAGACTTTGCTTATTCCAAAATCTCATGAGCTGTATCTACCCACATAAAGCTCTACTTCATCAATGGCAACAAAGAAGTGACAAGTTTAAAATATTGATACAATACACCTTCTATCGGTATCAAAGGGTTCCAGTACAGGATACGCTACGACTATAGGTGTATCCTACTAATCGTGCATATCCATCTAATAACCCTTTCTATCAGTGTGTATCATACAATATCAGTCTATATGGTCCAATATGCACTAGTAGTCCGGTAAGGAGGCATATCAAGTGACAAGGTTTAAAATATTGATACAATACACCTTGTATCGGTATCAAAGGGTACTAGTATAGGATACGCTACGACTATTGGTGTATCCTACTAATCATGCAAATCGGTCTAATAATCCTTTGTATCAATGTGTATCCAGTAATTTAAAAGGCGCGCCTAGGCGCACAAGCAAGGTGCATTTCAGGGTATGCGCATAGGTCCTAGGCTCATGCTTGGTGCGCCTTGCACCTCAGCCCAGGCGTGCACCTTTTGAAAATTTGACCATTTTTTGCTTTTTTTATTGTAGCGGCTGGGCCGGGAACTCCACCCCGAACCCCCATTCCACACCCCTCAAGGCAAGCCTAAACAAGTCCATGTTATGTCTTAAATTCTTAGTTTTCACACAAAAAAATAATGATTTTATAGTTTTAATTACTTTTTAAGAAGAAATTTTATTAGGATGAATGAATGAGCAACATTACCAAATTAGGGGTTCTCGGAGCTTCGATGAGCGAGTGAAGCGAGCGAACCAGAGCGGATATTGGTGACTGGGTTTCAAAAATACAGAGATTGCAGGAGTCCCAACTACGTAGTTTAAAGTAAAGGGTCTAGGTTCCTTACCTTATTTCCTTGGAATTGAAGTTGCCTATTCTCAAGAATGGATCTTCATTTCAGAAAGGAAATATATCCTAGATCTTCTAGAAGATACGGATAAGCTAGGATCTAAGCCTGTTGACACTCTTGTTTACCCAAAGCATAGGATAGGTGATTGTAATGGTGAAACTATAAGAGATGTGGAGCAATATTAGAGACTTGTGGGGAAATTCTTGTACTTATCTATGACCAGACATGGTATTGCCTATGTTGTAAGTATCTTTAATCAATTTATGCATACACCTAAGACTACTCATTTAAAGGATGCAGAGGGGGTCCTTAGAATACCTCAAGAAGTTCCCAAGAAATAGGTTGTTGTTCAAGAAAAATGATCACCTAAAGGTTGTGAAGTTTACATAAATGTTGACTAGGTTTAGTCAGTTACTAATAGAAAGTCCACCAGTGGGTATTGTACCTTTGTAGGAAGTAACCTGGTCACTTGGAGTAAGAAGCGAAGTGTTGTAACCAGATCCAACGTAGAAGCTGAATATAGGACTATGTCCCATGGAGTTATAGAAATCCGATGAATAAAGAATTTGCGGGCCTCATGTCACTTTATTGTGACAACAAGGCCGACATTAGTATTGTGGCCAATCCAATACTCCATGATAGAATGAAGGACATAGAGGTAGATAAACATTTCACTATTGAAAAACTTGAAAGTGGAGAAGTGTGTACACCTAATGTTAGTTCCAAGGAACAACTTGTAGATGTGTTTACAAAGGGACTTCATCACTTGCAGCACAATGATCTTTGTGGCAAATTAGGCATGATAGACATCTATGTCCAAACTTGAGGGGGAGTGTTGTATTTCTTACCTTATGTACCACAAGGACAAACTTGTCATTTACCCTTATTTTGTAAAAATGATTCTTATAAACACTATTGTTGGAACTACCAATCAGGTTTTTGGCTTCCATCAATTCTCTCCTCATCTCCCTTCTTCTCTTATTTCTTGCTTTTATTACTGACAATTATAATAAATATGAATAGAAAGTGTAATTTTCAAAATGCAAGAACTAAAAATCCTATATGGTCAATTTTACAGTTTAGATGTTTCACCTTGAAGCTCAATCCTTGGAAGCAAATTATCGCGAGTGATATCAATAACTGATGCTTCCTTTTGCTCATCATCTAGCAACCAACTCATTAAAACAATATGCCGATCTGTATTCTTCCTATTAGCAGTAAGTGCAAAACCCCTGTTACAAAAGACAGTTGAATGTCAGCTCTCATTTCTTCACAAAACAAAATGTAATAATAAAAACAATCTAATATATGCATAATTGCATACACATATACAACAATGTAATGCATACATATACATATATGCATAAAGAGATGGAGTCGGATGGACATCATGAAATGTTAAAAGTACTAGAAATAAAAATAAAATCCCTAAATGTAACTACAAAAACAATCTAATATATGCATAATTGCCCCCACTAAGATTTGAAATTTATATAGTTATGGAACTCTTGAATAAATTTAAAATTTTCACAATTGCCCCCACTCAAATAAAGTAGTAGGGGTAAAATAAAATTCGGCTTCTCAAAAGGGATCTTTTTTAGAGGTGAATAAGTAAGAAATAAAGAAAAAATCTACAAGAATGACACCGATATCCCTATCCTATGTAACCAAGTTATGAAGTTTGGGGCTTAGGGTTTTACTTTTACCTTTTACGTTTTTATGTTTTCCTGTTCTTCCTTTTTTTCTCCTCATTTTACATCCCTCAACAGCTCAATCTTATCTTTCTACTTTGTCTCCTCAAAGTTAGAGATGACAGTTTTCCCTGTCCCTGCCTGGGCACTTGAACTCCACAACCTAATTGAGTTAGGGATGGAGACTACCTTAGCATGGATAAGGATGGGGAGTGAAGCCCCTGCCTTGCCCCAATCCCATATTATTTATTCTTTAAAATTTTTCATTTACTTTCAGTAAATCTTTTTCCCAAAAAAACCTTTAATTAAAAAAGTCAGGGATTTGGGTCTTCGATGGGGAACCCATCTCCATCAGGGATTGGGGAAGGAGGTAGACCTGTTCAAAAGCCAGGCTTCAGGCCTGATTTTACACTGTAGAGCCTGGCCCGTGAACAGGTCTAGAAGGAGGTTACCTTTCTCCCCAGTGGGGATCAGGGTCGAGGATGAAGCAGTATGGTCCCCGCTCCGAACCCACCCTATTATGACTAAGTTGATGTTATAATAATGTCTGCCCCCACTGATCAAAGGTCCTAGATCCACCACTGTTGACTGCATAAATGAGAATCAGCAATTTGGTACAAGTTGAAAGCTCTAAAAAGAAAAATGACTAAACAGATTCTCATAAAACACTTGACTACTTGAGAATCTATTATTTGAAAGCACATATGATCCTCTGCAAAGCACAAGCATAAAGCAGGAGTCATGTAGTTGCCCTCAAATAAGTGGGAAAATGATTAGTTTAATTAAGTTGAGTTCTGAGGTTTTGTATTAACAGGACATACATGATTCATGGTCATTTGTCAGTTACATAGTTTTTTTTTTTTTTTGTGATAGATTCATTTGACAGTTACATAGTTGAATATGGCCTCTGCTTTTTGTATAACTTCTTATCATTGGAGACATTGCCTTCTCATTTACATTAATACAAGTTGTGCTATCCTATAATTACATTTGGAGAACATTTAATTTAAGGAAAATAGACTAGCTGCTCTCAGTAAAATGATTTTTCCCTTTACCATCATTTTTGCAAGTTAAGGCTGTAACTGGATGAGATTCAGATTGGATCCAGCTACATCTGCATCTGATCCAATTATTAAATATTTGGATCCAAATCGAACATATCGCACTCGGATTTAATACACATTCATCTTATTGTGTTTGAAATGACAAAAAAATTAAAAAAAAAAACAATTATTTTTAACTTATACATGTATAATAGATGTATACAAATATAAAATATTAAACTTATCAGTTATAAATTTTACATAATTGTATAGAATATCTATGTATACATAATTATACTAAATATATATAAAATAATAACTTTTTTATCAGACTCAAATTTTGATCAGATCAGATGGGGTTAAATCCTCAGCCAATCCAATTGTTAATCAGATTCAAGTTCTAACATCCAAATCCAGGATAATTGGATTCGGAGTCGAACCAGGTAACAGATTTTCAGAGTCCATTGATGGCTCTAATTGAAGTCTCTACATCATGTTCTTTACTCACTGCAAATTTTCATGGCATTAAATAGACTCCAATTAGTTCCTCCATATTATATGATTATGCTATCAAGAATTGGTCTACTATACCATTTTTCCAAATAGCTGAAGAACAAATATGGTCCCCCTCCATAAGGTACTATATCATCAACAAAACCTTCAAACAAATCATCGAAGGACAGGACGACTTTTTCAGAAGCAGCCTGCAGAAAAGAAACACAGAAACATTCAATGACAAGGAAGAACACATACGAATGAAAGTATTGATATATAAAACAAATACAAAAATTCATCTTTGCAACCATCGGCAAAGATGAATTTGGGGGAATGTATGAGAAGAACCACAATATGCATGGAATGTATCAGAAGCTAAATAATGTGGGGGAAAAGCCCTTGCTCAGTTTAAGCATGAGAATGCAGGCTGTGAAGTATATTTTCCTTAGTTACCTCATAAGGGGTATAAATGTTTGAACCTTACTCTAGAAAACATATATTCTCCAGAGGTTTTACATTCTTTGAGTTTCAATCCTTTCCTTTTGTTTCAATGTATGAGTCCACTGGTACTAGTATCCGAATTAGTGCACTGTGCACAAGAACAAGAGTTATATGTGTATACCAATCATAAGAAAGCAACCTTAGAAGCTGAGCTCCCCCAAAATTCCGGTTCATTGGATTCAAGTAATCCTAATCCCAATTTTGATTATTCATTACCTGAATGGTGTTCATTTTTGCAATAAGAGTATAGCGCATTTTTTTTATCAATCAATAAGAGCAAAGGTTTTCAGGTAGTCAATGTTGGCAAAGAACCTGGCAAGATAGATAGATAGATACACTTGGCAAAGAACCTGTTGGTTGTATGTAGGTGTACACAGTAAAATATAGGGCTGATGGCTCCATTGAGAGGTACAATGCAATGCTTGTTGCTAAGGGATGCAAATAAATATACAACATTGACTACCTGAAAACCTTTGCCCTTATTGATTGATCAAAAAAAAAATGCCCTTTACTCTTATTGCAAAAATGAACACCATTCAGGTTTTGATATCCTTAACTGCTCATTTGCCTAACCCTTATACCAGATGGATGCCAAGAACACATTTCTAAATGGTGATATACAGAAAGAAGTGTGCATGAAGTTGCCTCCTTGTGTACCCATCCTTGGAAGTGAAAGAAAGGAGTGCAGATTTGAAAAATCAATATATGGTCTAAATAATCTCCTCATGCTTGGTTTGATGGATTTAGAGTGATTCAGAAGGTGGACTTTATACAACCACATGTTGCTCAAACTCTCTTCACTAAAAAAGATGGTAATTCTTTGACTATTAAATTGTGTAAGTGGATGGCAATCATGATAACAGGAAATAACATGGATAATATTATCAAGTTAAAGCAATATTTAGCTAAACAATCTGAGATCAAGGATCTTGGTGAACTCAGATGCTTCTTGGGGAGAATGGTTGCAAGGTCCAAGAAGAGAATATTCAATTCACAAGGATGATATATATACTTGACTTGTTAAAGGTAAAAAGGTATACATGGAGCTAAGCCAACTAATACTCCAATAGACCCTAATCACAGAATTTGTGGAATAATGGCTATGTGTTGACAGATAATGGGATGTGCCATTGAGGCTATTGTATGTATCTATGCTTGACTGAAACAGATAGATCTTAAGTGATCAATGTGGTTAGTCAATCTATACACCAGTTATGACTTCCTCACCTAGCAGTTTTGAATGTGATATTGTGATAGTCATCTCAAGGTTGAGACTTGTGACTCACAAGTCTACAGCATTTCATAAGAGAAGAGGCTTATGCTGATTGGTACTCAGGGTATTGCAAATTTATGGAAGGGAATACCGTTTCTTGATGAAGCAAGAACAATATATTGTTATGAGGTAATGTCACCAGAACTATTAAAATTGCCACGTTGAAGACTCTTACCTAAGCTGGCACTCAGCAATTCCATTTGAAGGCCCTACAGAGCTATTTCATGACAACCAAGCAGAAATAAATACCGCCAACAAGCCAATCTAGCATGACCATACAAATCACATAGAAGTTGACAGACACTTTATACATGAAAGAGTCACTAGTGGTTAGGTCAGTTTGCCATTAATAAAGTTCAGTGATCAGTCAGCTAATTGCATAACTAAGGGTGTTCCTTTCTAGAATGTGGAAGACAATTTATGCAAGCTAAGCATGTATAACATTTATACTTGGCTTAAGGGGAACTGTTATGGGATGCTACTACAAGGGCAGTTTTCTCTCATTGTTATATTATATTAATGATGGACTCAAACGTAAATTTTTTATGTTAATACAAAAGCTAATTAGATGGCTACGCCAACACTACTAATTCAAATTCTTTCATCTTTTCCTCTCCACTTGGACTTTCTCTTCTTTCTTCCACAATACTACCAGTCTACAAATCACAAGTAAAATAAAGGAAAATAAAGTTCATTGCAGATTGCCACATCAAATTTTTAATTCTAAATAGACATTTAACAATATCCAATCAGTGGAAAATAACTACCCCAACCGGAAAACAAAATTATGTTCAAGATAACCACCAAATTCCAAGACAATTATCAAAGCAGTAGTGAATTACAGCACATGTAATGCATTTTATGTCAGAATTTTAGGAATTTCCTAATGTGGCAATAAATGACAAAATTCAAAGAAAACTGACAAAAACAAAAAAGATCGTGTATATAAATGGCCACATGATTGAACAGAAGGGATCGTCTACTAACATCAACAATTTTGCCATTCCTGCTGATGATTACTTGAACCAGATAGCCTTCCTCCTTGCCATCTTCAGTCAATTGGAAGCATCCCAGAATGATACAATCATGACGTACCCACTTGATACAATCCACTGATTTCCAAGAAAAAACATAATATCAAAACTCAATAACATAACTCATTTTAAATTAATAATCCAGATTATGCACACACAGAATTGCCAAAGGTCAAATAATAAGAAAATAAATATATTAACAAATGAACACAAGTAACCACCTAGTACATTCAAAAGAGAAAAGAAGAACAATTTTAAGAGAAACCAAATACTCCATGTCCATGTCAAGATATAATAGAAAATCTAAAACCCACAATCTCTTTTTTTTTTTTTTTTGCTCAATTGCCTTACTTCAAGTAGCTAATGTGATTTAAAACGTATTACACTCCTGATTCTATGAGACGCCTTTGTGCCACACCTTTGAGGCAAGTCCATGTTGGGGTCTTAAATTCATAGTTCTTACACACAAAAAAATTATAATTTTAATAGCTTTTTAAGAAGATATTTAATGGGAAACGGATATGTCCAAGGTATCCATTTAACAAGGGATATGGCATTAAAAAGAAAGGAATAGCAAAACAGGATTCATGTAACCAACCCCATGTAGTTATGATAAGGTTTAAATGATGATGTTGATCATGCTTATAAATGAATATCAGAAACAAACTAAAACATCAACTAAAAGCATTCTAGTATTGACCAAAATGTAATGTATGCTTGCAAATAGGCCTCATTTTTGTCTTTACACAAACTGAGCATCAACTTTAAAGAATGATTCTGCATAGGCCAAGAATCCTGCAAAGCTTGTAATGAGCTAGACTATTTTAATCTTAGAAGTTAGAATAATGAATCTGAATCTGAATTCAGAAGCATTCGTTATCCATTTTTGCTTAACCAAATTAAGGGCTTGATGCAAGACACTCCAATATGGAAACATGATGGAGGGAGATTCTTGAGTGGTGGCAGCCTGGCTAAGAGATAACATGTAAGGAACGTGAAATTAAAGAATAAGATATGTATTGAGGGAAATTAGTAAGCTGGATCCAGAAATGATGGTAACTTTTTTAGTGGGTGCCTAGAAGTGAAAACATACTGACTGATGCTATAGCTAGGCAAGCAATTAATTGAGCTCAAATGTATTAGGGGAGATTCCTAGAGAATCTAATGTATAATTTTATGTGGGGCATAGGTGTTGGAAGGGTTAGGCCGAATTCATTGCTCAAGACATTGAACCCCTAACTCAATCAGTTTGGGCTCAGTTTAGGCCAAACTTTTACACCTAAATGATCATTGGATTCAACCACCCTATGAAAACCCAAGGATAATGGACTTATATAAGATAACGCCCATCAAGTAATCAGCCCTGTAATGGTCTCTTACACCTAACCATTTGGCTCATAATCATCAAAACACTGCCCACAAGGAAAGACCTCTTCCCTGACTGCAAAACAGTGTCACACTCTCTGCTTGGACAAATCTTGGGATTAAAACCTTTTGCAAACCATTTTCATAAAACACTAATATAACATATAGATACATTTTGCAAATCAAATTTCAAACACAATTGAAATTGACAACTGGCAGTTTAGGTTTCCATCAGAGAGAGTGGAAAACCTAATATTCACTTTGTCTAACAAAAGGGTCGATCATATCACTATAATCATTCACTCATGTAATTTCCCAAACTACCCCAACAGGTGCAAGTATTTGACCCTTGATGGATCTAACTGGTTCGTACATCAAAGGCACCTCAATTCAATACCTAATGCAATACCATAACCAAGTTTGGATTAAGTCCAATTTTCCAATTTTTCCCATCTATCTCCAAGGTACAGGGAATAACTAGAAATTGGTTCAAGTTCAATATTTTTTCAAACCACCCACTAGATGTGCTTGGGGTCTAACCCTAGCAACTAGACCTGTTCATGGGTCGGGTAGCCCGATGGCCCGGCCCGCACCCCGATCGGGCTTGGTCATGTAATTAGGCCCGCGGGCCTGACTTGGGGCCTAACACAGTAAGCCCGACTATGTTTCGGGCCGGGATCAGGATATGTCAAAAAAGCCCGGCCCGAGCTCGGCCCGGCCCAACTCAGTATTATATATTTTATAAAATATATAATATGTATTTTATATATTATATAAAATATATAAATAATATAATATTTATTAAAATATATATTTNACTCAGTATTATATATTTTATAAAATATATAATATGTATTTTATATATTATATAAAATATATAAATAATATAATATTTATTAAAATATATATTTATAATTTAATATATACATTTTTTATTCTTTTCTTTATAATCTCTCTCTCTATCTCTCTCTCTATTCAGCCGGCCCATGAACAAGGTCTACTAGCAGCTGAGACAAGTTGTTCCACCAATTCAACAACACACCAGTGTCAACCTTGTCAAGATAGACTCTCCACATCTATCCAATGCTGAGAACATTCTAAACTAACATAAGCCTCGTAAGTGTTCAGTTTAAGAAGTAATTCACAAAAAACATACCAATTAGAACATAAAACAATAATGTATTTTATTCATTCACTAATAATGTTTTATGTACATCAATCTAATTAGAGCTAAGGGCATACATTGTCTAACAACAGGTAGCCTACCAAGCTACAATTCTTACTTGTACATATTGTCTTAATCTTTTATAAAATTACTGATGAAAAAAAAAAGGGTTTGATGCTATCTATCAATCAAAGTCAAAAAATTTCTTTCAAGAATAAAAGAAAAATTATCCACATTTCAGCACCTTTTATTTTGGATCAAGAATTGAGAATAACAAATCAAAGAAAGAATGAATTTAAAGGAAAACTAATAGATAAAATACTAGAAACAAGAATACCTTTTATTGTATATTTTGGATCAGCATCACCAATCCATGACTTGAACAATAATGATATGTGAAAAAGTTCTTCAAATTTGGATGACAAGATGCTTAAAATATTCTTCTTTGCAATAGCAACAAAATTGCCTTTAAAACTCCATTCAACTGTAGAAAAGAGAAATTAAAAGGATCTTGATTAAATATTGATCAAAAATGGTAAAAATTAAATGACAATATATATATAGATAGTTATATGCAGCACTAACTTAATAAAGGCATTACCAAGGACAAGATATAAACCAACTTAATTAACATCTATTTTCTTTCTAGAAGAGAGAGAGGAAAGAAGAGAGAAACGAAGAGAAGAGGAAAGGAAGAAAAGTGTTTAAGAGTCAAAAACATCAATTGGCAGCTCCCAGCTTCCTATTTGTATTAACATGATGTAAAATAAAAGAAAAGAGAAATTATAAACATGCCCTTGGCAGCCCACTCTAATAATAAGAACTTAAACAAAGAAAAGAACATGTTGACAGCACTTTAACAGCAGAAATAAAAAACTAATTCTAACAACACACCCTCAAGTTGGGTTGAATATATCTATCATGCCCAACTTGTCACACAACTCATTATGCCGCAACTATGAAGCCCTTTTGTGAGAACATTGGCTAGTTGCTCCTTGGAGTTGACATAAGGAGTACAAATTTCTCTCTTTTTCCAATTTTTCTCTTATGAAATGCTTGTCCACTTCAATGTGCTTGGTCCTATCGTATAGGACAGGATTGCTAGCAATATTTATAGTTGCCTTATTGTCATAATAGACATAGGATTGTGAACAATTATCCCAAGTTCCCTTAGAAGATTCTTTCAACCAAAGCACTTCAATGACCCCATGTGCAAAGTACTTGACTTTGCAACTACCCTTTGTTTTTTTGCTTCTCCATGTCACTAGATTTCCTTCCACAAATGTGCAATATCCACTTGTGGACTTTCTATCATCCACAACACCTGCACAATCAACATTTGTGTAGACTTCCACCTTCAGATGATTATGTTTCTTAAGTAACAACCTTGGCCCCGGATGCTTCTTCAAATACCTAAGAATCCTCTCTGTTGCTTCTATGAATTGGCTCAAGACCCCAACTGAATAAGCAATTTTTGGACGTGTCATGGACAAATAAAGCAACTTTCCCACTAACCTTTGAAACTATTTCACATCTTTCAAAGGTTCACCATCACAATTACCTAGTTTATGATCTACATCCATAGGAGTATCTGTTGGTTTTGCTCCTAACTTGTCTGTGTCTTGTAACAGATCAAGGACATAAAGATGCCCCTTTTTAAGCGGGCAACTTCAATTCCTAGAAAGTGCTTTAGTGGACCCAGATTTTTCGCTTCAAATTTGGAGGCTAGGAACCCCTTCAAACTTTGTATTTCTGAGCTCCAGTTTCCTGTAATGATGATATCATTCACATATACTATCAATACAGTAACATGTTCCTAACATCTCTTTGCAAAGAGAATGTGATCAAACTGACATTGTTTGAATCCTACTTGCTGGACCACCATATGAAATTTACTGAACCACGCCCTAGGAGATTGTTTTAAATCATAGAGAGACTCTTAGAATGCACACCTTATTTTCACTTTAGCTCATAACCCCAAGGGTTGAACCATGTACACCTCCTCCTCCAAATCATCATTTAAGAAGGCATTTTTTATATCCAACTGATGTAATTCCCAGTCAAAGTTTGCAACAAATGATAGAAGAACCCGAATTGAGTTCATCTTAGCTACTGGAGCAAACACCTCATCATAGTCAACACCATAGACTTGAGTGTACCCTTTTGCTACCAACCTTGCTTTGTACCTTTCAATTGTCCCATCTACCTTGTGTTTCACTAAAAACACCAAATTGCACCCTACTAGGTCCTCCCCCCTTGGAAGGCATTAATCTCCTCCTTCATAGCATCTGTCCATTCAGCGTATTTTAAAGCCTCTGTAACATTTCTAGGTATCGGGATGTTATCAACTACAGATAAGAAAGCACGATAAGAGGGGAAATGTGGTCATAGGAGACATACTAAGTAATGGGGTGTTTGGTAGTGCATGACCTAACTCCCTTTCTTTAAGCAATAGGAATGTCAAGGTCATCCACAACTGAAGTGAGAGTTGGAGTATCAACAGGTGGAATAGTACCTAGTTCATTTGGACTTACCTCTTAGGAGTCGAAAGCAAGGTTTAAAATGTCGATGTCGGTGGAAATGTTGGTCATCCAAATATAAGACACGTCAGAAATGTCAAAAATATTGTATGAAAATATTTGTAAAAATTATAAACATGGTAAAGACATTGTAAAATATGCAAAATATAAAATGGTATTTTATAAAATGATAAAAGAAGTATAGGCACACCTTTTTAAATTATTATCTTGTTCTAAATCATTAAACAAAGCTAAGAAACTAAGGTTATAGACAAAAGAATATGCTCGGAAGTTAACTTGTAAACCTTAAGATTCAGAGCTTCATGAAAGAATGAGAACTCATAAAAAATGTAAATGGTTGTAATAGATCAACCAAATAATCTATTATACAAAAAAGAAAAACTAATATTTAACTTCTTGTTTGAAATGAATATTGAGCTAATTCAAAGTGGTAATCATGTAAGTTAGGTGGACAACAACATTGTTACTTCACGTATCTACAATATTGTCACCAACTTATGTTATAATACTATCTCTAGGACTCCACATAGTATTGGTAGTGTTCACTAGGGAATATGTTGATTCTAGAAAAATTACATGTTGCTACCCATGGATGTGGAAATGGAAATATGTCATAGAAAGTATCTCTTGTACTCCACATAGTGCAAGTAGTGTTCATTGGCGAAATGACGATTCCGGTAAAATTGTATCGCTACCCATGGAAATGGAAATATGTTATGAAAGTACTAGGGAAATTGGGGACATTTTAAACCATGGTCTGAAGGTGTCGGTTGCTCAGTGTTTGGTGGCTCCACATCTTTGTCACATTGCTGATCTCTACAGCGTGTACGTTAGAAGATACGAAAAGGAGTATAATCAGGAATAGAGGGAAGAGAGACTTAACGGACCTAGACCTGGACCTAGACCTGCTTCTCCTCTTCCACACTACTCTCCCCTTAAGGAGAAGCTGGGAAGAATGGTTCAAACTCAAAAAAGGAAACATCCATAGAGGCAAAGAACTTATGATCAATGGGATCAAAGCACTAGTAACCCTTTTGAGTAGAGGGATAACCTAGAAAGATGCATGGAATAGACCAACGATCTAACTTACCACGAGACGAAAATAAATTATGGACAAAAGCACGACAACCAAACACTCATGGGAATGGAAAACAAAAGAGATTGGGGAACAACAATTGATGAGGGGCCCTGTAGTTTAGCACTCTGGAAGGCATGCAATTGATGACATAAGCAACAGTCAATACAACATCTATCCAAAAACGTTTTGGTACATTCATATGCAACATCATCCCTTGTGCAACCTCAAATAGATGTCTATTCTTTCTCTCTACAACACCATTTTTGTTATGGTGTTCTTGCACATGAGCTCCTATGAATGGATCCATTGAAAGCAAATAACTCATTGAGCTCACCATGTAAATACTCCTTTGCATTATCCGATTGAAAAACAATGTAAACACCATCCTCTGGAAATCCCGCACAACCTTTGGAACTTCATCTCCACTACATGAGAAATACCCATGTATAATGGGAGAAATCATCAATCAATGTGATAAAGTACTTATACCCACCCTCCAAAGTTATAGTAGTAGGCCCCCACACATCAGAATACACAATATGGAAAAGGAAACATGATCTTTTATTACGTGAATGAAATGTTGTTCTACATTGCTTGCTCAACTGACATGTTTGACATTGGAAATCTGACACTAAACACGACTTAAATAAATGAGGAAACAAAGACATCATTATTTCAAAGGACACATGACCTAACCGATTATGCCATAAAAAAATGACTCTTATTTGACTAACTATGCGACTCTGAAGATGACACCAAGAAACCAGCCTTGTTGTCGAGAGTGTAGAGACCATCCACTAAGCTTCCTCTACCAATCGTCTTCTTAAAAGTTAGATCCTCAAAAACACATGAATCAGGAAAAAAGGTTACACTACAGTTTAAAGCGTTTGTGATACTACAAATGGAAAGCAGATTGATGGAAAGTTGAGGAACATGCAAAACATTATTCAAGTTAAGTTCATGAGGAAGGGATATTGATCATTGGCTTGCAATGGAGGAGAATGATCCATTTGCAAGTCTCACCTTATCCCTTTGTGACAAAAGGTTATACAACTAAAAAAAATGTTTGGATTACAATCGTGTGGTTAGAGGCCCCTGAGTCAATGATCCAGGGGGAATCAGTGACAATGGATACATGGAAGGCAGAGGCTGCATTAGTTGATGTAGACACAAGGAAGTAGAAGGGGTACTAGTGACTAAACTATCCATCTAGCGCAAGGCCCTACCATATGATTCCAAATGACTTCGGAAGGAATTCATGATATCTTCCTTGGGGTCAGAACCAGTGAAGTACTCCCGAGCAGTACTAGTCAACACTCCACCAGACCAAGTATCTTGGATTGCCATATTTGCCACATTATGTTTTGTATTAGGCTTCTTCTAACCCTGCACCTTACCCTATTCTTGGTTCTTTACAACCCACTTTGGCCTCCCATGGAGATCCCAACATGTGTCCCATGTATGTCTTGAACATCGGTAGTGGCTACAAAACAACTTGTCCTTATCATCAACCTTCTTGGAGTCAATTTTCTTTCCCATATTGTTATCACCCATTGTAGCTAATGCCACCTGTTTCTCCCCCTCAATTGTAACTATCACACTCCGCCTACTTTCCTCAAATTGAACCAGGGCATACACCTCTTGAACTGAAGGCAGCTCTTTACTCCCTAAAATTTGAGGTTCATATACAAGGTTTAGTCCCAACAAGAAAGCAAAAACCCGCTGATGAGAAACCGATTTCTTATAGTCTTTAGCATCATCATCATGTTTCCATTCTACAGCTTGATAGTCGTCCAATTCCTTCCATACTGAAGTAAGGGTTGAATAATGAGTGGACAAACTACGAATCCCTTATTTATAGGTTGA